GACTAAATCCAATACTCACAGTCCATTTTACATTTTATAAGATCATATTTACTCACACATAGTGTACAGGACTTCCAATATTCAATTTATGTGTTAAACGGTTCCCGATTAAGACTATGACGTAATGAATATAAAGTAAATCGGAAGTCAGTACAAAATACTTTAAAAGCGTCAACTAATATCCTGGATATCATGTTCTTAGTTTTCTTCTCTTTAAAGTTTGGCTACGAATGTGATGCATTCTGGTAATATTTAGATTCAAGTTTGTCATCGAGTTCGAATGAAGATGTCATCTAATATTTTGTTAAGTTTCTTGGATGAAAAATAGGAATAAAATAAAGTTATCAATTATAAAAGTATCTGACTACATCATCAATAACTAAAAAAATTTAAACTACAATTAGGCACAACTCATTTACCAATATGAATTAAACCAAACTTACCCAAATTTCTGGTCTTCTAATGAGAAGACTTTTTGATAACCATTATTTCTGTATTTAAATGTTGTAAGTGATAGGTTTAAAATTGATCCTTTCTTCGGACAATAAAGCACTCCCCAGACTAAATCCAATACTCACAGTCCATTTTACATTTTATAAGATCATATTTACTCACACATAGTGTACAGGACTTCCAATATTCAATTTATGTGTTAAACGGTTCCCGATTAAGACTATGACGTAATGAATATAAAGTAAATCGGAAGTCAGTACAAAATACTTTAAAAGCGTCAACTAATATCCTGGATATCATGTTCTTAGTTTTCTTCTCTTTAAAGTTTGGCTACGAATGTGATGCATTCTGGTAATATTTAGATTCAAGTTTGTCATCGAGTTCGAATGAAGATGTCATCTAAGATTTTGTTCAGTTTCTTGGATGAAAAATAGGAATAAAATAAAGTTATCAATTATAAAAGTATCTGACTACATCATCAATAACTAAAAAAATTTAAACTACAATTAGGCACAACTCATTTACCAATATGAATTAAACCAAACTTACCCAAATTTCTGGTCTTCTAATGAGAAGACTTTTTGTTAACCATTATTTCTGTATTTAAATGTTGTAAGTGATAGGTTTAAAATTGATCCTTTCTTCGGATAATATGGCACTCCTCAGACTAAATCCAATACTCACAGTCCATTTTACATTTTATAAGATCATATTTACTCACACATAGTGTACAGGACTTTCAATATTCAATTTATGTGTTAAACGGTTTCCGGTTAAGACTTTGACGTAATGAATATAAAGTAAATCGGAAGTCAGTACAAAATACTTTAAAAGCGTCAACTAATATCCTGGATATCATGTTCTTAGTTTTCTTCTCTTTAAAGTTTGGCTACGAATGTGATGCATTCTGGTAATATTTAGATTCAAGTTTGTCATCGAGTTCGAATGAAGATGTCATCTAATATTTTGTTCAGTTTCTTGGATGAAAAATAGGAATAAAATAAAGTTATCAATTATAAAAGTATCTGACTACATCATCAATAACTAAAAAAATTTAAACTACAATTAGGCACAACTCATTTACCAATATGAATTAAACCAAACTTACCCAAATTTCTGGTCTTCTAATGAGAAGACTTTTTGATAACCATTATTTCTGTATTTAAATGTTGTAAGTGATAGGTTTAAAATTGATCCTTTCTTCGGACAATAAAGCACTCCCCAGACTAAATCCAATACTCACAGTCCATTTTACATTTTATAAGATCATATTTACTCACACATAGTGTACAGGACTTCCAATATTCAATTTATGTGTTAAACGGTTCCCGATTAAGACTTTGACGTAATGAATATAAAGTAAATCGGAAGTCAGTACAAAATACTTTAAAAGCGTCAACTAATATCCTGGATATCATGTTCTTAGTTTTCTTCTCTTTAAAGTTTGGCTACGAATGTGATGCATTCTGGTAATATTTAGATTCAAGTTTGTCATCGAGTTCGAATGAAGATGTCATCTAATATTTTGTTCAGTTTCTTGGATGAAAAATAGGAATAAAATAAAGTTATCAATTATAAAAGTATCTGACTACATTATCAATAATTAAATAAATTTAAACCACAATTAGGCACAACTCATTTACCAATATGAAGTAAAGCAAACTTACCCAAATTTCTAGTCTTCTAATGAGAAGACTTTTTGTTAACCATTATTTCTGTATTTAAATGTTGTAAGTGATAAGTTTAAAATTGATCCTTTCTTCGGATAATATGGCACTCCTCAGACTAAATCCAATACTCACAGTCCATTTTACATTTTATAAGATCATATTTACTCACACATAGTGTACAGGACTTCCAATATTCAATTTATGTGTTAAACGGTTCCCGATTAAGACTATGACGTAATGAATATAAAGTAAATCGGAAGTCAGTACAAAATACTTTAAAAGCGTCAACTAATATCCTGGATATCATGTTCTTAGTTTTCTTCTCTTTAAAGTTTGGCTACGAATGTGATGCATTCTGGTAATATTTAGATTCAAGTTTGTCATCGAGTTCGAATGAAGATGTCATCTAAGATTTTGTTCAGTTTCTTGGATGAAAAATAGGAATAAAATAAAGTTATCAATTATAAAAGTATCTGACTACATCATCAATAACTAAAAAAATTTAAACTACAATTAGGCACAACTCATTTACCAATATGAATTAAACCAAACTTACCCAAATTTCTGGTCTTCTAATGAGAAGACTTTTTGATAACCATTATTTCTGTATTTAAATGTTGTAAGTGATAGGTTTAAAATTGATCCTTTCTTCGGATAATATGGCACTCCTCAGACTAAATCCAATACTCACAGTCCATTTTACATTTTATAAGATCATATTTACTCACACATAATGTACAGGACTTTCAATATTCAATTTATGTGTTAAACGGTTTCCGGTTAAGGCTTTGACGTAATGAATATAAAGTAAATCGGAAGTCAGTACAAAATACTTTAAAAGCGTCAACTAATATCCTGGATATCATGTTCTTAGTTTTCTTCTCTTTAAAGTTTGGCTACGAATGTGATGCATTCTGGTAATATTTAGATTCAAGTTTGTCATCGAGTTCGAATGAAGATGTCATCTAAGATTTTGTTCAGTTTCTTGGATGAAAAATAGGAATAAAATAAAGTTATCAATTATAAAAGTATCTGACTACATTATCAATAATTAAATAAATTTAAACCACAATTAGGCACAACTTATTTACCAATATGAAGTAAAGCAAACTTACCCAAATTTCTAGTCTTCTAATGAGAAGACTTTTTGTTAACCATTATTTCTGTATTTAAATGTTGTAAGTGATAAGTTTAAAATTGATCCTTTCTTCGGATAATATGGCACTCCTCAGACTAAATCCAATACTCACAGTCCATTTTACATTTTATAAGATCATATTTACTCACACATAGTGTACAGGACTTCCAATATTCAATTTATGTGTTAAACGGTTCCCGATTAAGACTATGACGTAATGAATATAAAGTAAATCGGAAGTCAGTACAAAATACTTTAAAAGCGTCAACTAATATCCTGGATATCATGTTCTTAGTTTTCTTCTCTTTAAAGTTTGGCTACGAATGTGATGCATTCTGGTAATATTTAGATTCAAGTTTGTCATCGAGTTCGAATGAAGATGTCATCTAATATTTTGTTAAGTTTCTTGGATGAAAAATAGGAATAAAATAAAATTATCAATTATAAAAGTATCTGACTATATCATCAATAACTAAAAAAATTTAAACTACAATTAGGCACAACTCATTTACCAATATGAATTAAACCAAACTTACCCAAATTTCTGGTCTTCTAATGAGAAGACTTTTTGTTAACCATTATTTCTGTATTTAAATGTTGTAAGTGATAAGTTTAAAATTGATCCTTTCTTCGGATAATATGGTACTCCTCAGACTAAATCCAATACTCACAGTCCATTTTACATTTTATAAGATCATATTTACTCACACATAGTGTACAGGACTTTCAATATTCAATTTATGTGTTAAACGGTTTCCGGTTAAGACTTTGACGTAATGAATATAAAGTAAATCGGAAGTCAGTACAAAATACTTTAAAAGCGTCAACTAATATCCTGGATATCATGTTCTTAGTTTTCTTCTCTTTAAAGTTTGGCTACGAATGTGATGCATTCTGGTAATATTTAGATTCAAGTTTGTCATCGAGTTCGAATGAAGATGTCATCTAATATTTTGTTAAGTTTCTTGGATGAAAAATAGGAATAAAATAAAATTATCAATTATAAAAGTATCTGACTATATCATCAATAACTAAAAAAATTTAAACTACAATTAGGCACAACTCATTTACCAATATGAATTAAACCAAACTTACCCAAATTTCTGGTCTTCTAATGAGAAGACTTTTTGTTAACCATTATTTCTGTATTTAAATGTTGTAAGTGATAAGTTTAAAATTGATCCTTTCTTCGGATAATATGGTACTCCTCAGACTAAATCCAATACTCACAGTCCATTTTACATTTTATAAGATCATATTTACTCACACATAATGTACAGGACTTTCAATATTCAATTTATGTGTTAAACGGTTTCCGGTTAAGGCTTTGACGTAATGAATATAAAGTAAATCGGAAGTCAGTACAAAATACTTTAAAAGCGTCAACTAATATCCTGGATATCATGTTCTTAGTTTTCTTCTCTTTAAAGTTTGGCTACGAATGTGATGCATTCTGGTAATATTTAGATTCAAGTTTGTCATCGAGTTCGAATGAAGATGTCATCTAAGATTTTGTTCAGTTTCTTGGATGAAAAATAGGAATAAAATAAAGTTATCAATTATAAAAGTATCTGACTACATTATCAATAATTAAATAAATTTAAACCACAATTAGGCACAACTTATTTACCAATATGAAGTAAAGCAAACTTACCCAAATTTCTAGTCTTCTAATGAGAAGACTTTTTGTTAACCATTATTTCTGTATTTAAATGTTGTAAGTGATAGGTTTAAAATTGATCCTTTCTTCGGATAATATGGCACTCCTCAGACTAAATCCAATACTCACAGTCCATTTTACATTTTATAAGATCATATCTACTCACACATAGTGTACAGGACTTCCAATATTCAATTTATGTGTTAAACGGTTCCCGATTAAGACTTTGACGTAATGAATATAAAGTAAATCGGAAGTCAGTACAAAATACTTTAAAAGCGTCAACTAATATCCTGGATATCATGTTCTTAGTTTTCTTCTCTTTAAAGTTTGGCTGCGAATGTGATGCATTCTGGTAATATTTAGAATCAAGTTTGTCATCGAGTTCGAATGAAGATGTCATCTAATATTTTGTTAAGTTTCTTGGATGAAAAATAGGAATAAAATAAAGTTATCAATTATAAAAGTATCTGACTACATCATCAATAACTAAAAAAATTTAAACTACAATTAGGCACAACTCATTTACCAATATGAATTAAACCAAACTTACCCAAATTTCTGGTCTTCTAATGAGAAGACTTTTTGTTAACCATTATTTCTGTATTTAAATGTTGTAAGTGATAAGTTTAAAATTGATCCTTTCTTCGGACAATAAAGCACTCCCCAGACTAAATCCACTACTCACAGTCTATTTTACATTTTATAAGATCATATCTACTCACACATAGTGTACAGGACTTCCAATATTCAATTTATGTGTTAAACGGTTCCCGATTAAGACTATGACGTAATGAATATAAAGTAAATCGGAAGTCAGTACAAAATACTTTAAAAGCGTCAACTAATATCCTGGATATCATGTTCTTAGTTTTCTTCTCTTTAAAGTTTGGCTACGAATGTGATGCATTCTGGTAATATTTAGATTCAAGTTTGTCATCGAGTTCGAATGAAGATGTCATCTAAGATTTTGTTCAGTTTCTTGGATGAAAAATAGGAATAAAATAAAGTTATCAATTATAAAAGTATCTGACTACATTATCAATAATTAAATAAATTTAAACCACAATTAGGCACAACTTATTTACCAATATGAAGTAAAGCAAACTTACCCAAATTTCTAGTCTTCTAATGAGAAGACTTTTTGTTAACCATTATTTCTGTATTTAAATGTTGTAAGTGATAAGTTTAAAATTGATCCTTTCTTCGGATAATATGGCACTCCTCAGACTAAATCCAATACTCACAGTCCATTTTACATTTTATAAGATCATATTTACTCACACATAGTGTACAGGACTTCCAATATTCAATTTATGTGTTAAACGGTTCCCGATAAAGACTTTGACGTAATGAATATAAAGTAAATCGGAAGTCAGTACAAAATACTTAAAAAGCGTCAACTAATATCCGGATATCATGTTCTAAGTTTTCTTCTCTTTAAAGTTTGGCTACGAATGTGATGCATCTCTGGTAATATTTAGATTCAAGTTTGTCATCGAGTTCGAATGAAGATTGTCATCTAATATTTTGTTAAGTTTCTTGGATGAAAAATAGGAATAAAATAAAGTTATCAATTATAAAAGTATCTGACTACATCATCAATAACTAAAAAAGTTTAAAGTACAATTAGGCACAACTCATTTACCATTATGAATTTAAACCAAACTTACCCAAATTTCTGGTCTTCTAATGAGAAGAATTTCTGTTAACCATTATTTCTGTATTTAAATGTTGTAAGTGATAGGTTTAAAATTGATCCTTTCTTCGGATAATATGGCACTCCCAGACTAAATCCACTACTCACAGTCCATTTTACATTTTATAAGATCATATTTACTCACACATAGTGTACAGGACTTTCAATATTCAATTTAATTGTTAAACGGTTTCCGGTTAAGACTTTGACGTAATGAATATAAAGTAAATCGGAAGTCAGTACAAAATACTTTAAAAGCGTCAACTATATCCTGGATATTATGTTCTAAATTTTCTTCTCTTTAAAGTTTGGCTACGAATGTGATGTATCCTGGTAATGTTTAGATTCAAGTTTGTCATCGAGTTCGAATGAAGTTGTCATCTAATATTTTGTTAAGTTTCTTGGATGAAAAATAGGAATAAAATAAAGTTATCAATTATAAAAGTATCTGACTACATTATCAATATTTAAATAAGTTTAAAGTACAATTAGGCACAATTCGTTTACCAATTTTACTTCATGTAAACCAAACTTACCCAAATTTCTGGTCTTCTAATGAGAAGAATTTCTGTTAACCATTATTTGTGTATTTAAATGTTGTAAGTGATAGGTTTAAAATTAATCCTTTCTTCGGATAATATGGCACTCCCCAGACTAAATCCAATACTCACAGTCCATTTTACATTTTATAAGATCATATTTACTCACACATAGTGTACAGGACTTCCAATATTCAATTCAATTGTTAAACGGTTCCCGATTAAGACTTTGACGTAATGAATATAAAGTAAATCGGAAATCAGTACAAAATACTTTAAAAGCGTCAACTATATCCTGGATATCATGTTTTAAATTTTCTTCTCTTTAAAGTTTGGCTACGAATGTGATGTATCCTGGTAATGTTTAGATTCAAGTTTGTCATCGAGTTCGAATGAAGTTGTCATCTAAGTGTTTGTTAAGTTTCTTGGATGAAAAATAGGAATAAAATAAAGTTATCAATTATAAAAGTATCTGACTACATTATCAATAATTGAATAAATTTAAACCACAATTAGACACAACTCATTTATCAATATGAAGTAAACCAAACTTACCCAAATTTCTGGTCTTCTAATGAGAAGAATTTCTGTTAACCATTATTTCTGTATTTAAATGTTGTAAGTGATAGGTTTAAAATTAATCCTTTCTTCGGATAATATGGCACTCCTCAGACTAAATCCAATACTCACAGTCCATTTTACATTTTATAAGATCATATTTACTCACATATAGTGTACAGGACTTCCAATATTCAATTTATGTGTTAAACGGTTCCCGGTTAAGACTGTGACGTAATGAATATAAAGTAAATCGAAAGTCAGTACAAAATACTTTAAAAGCGTCAACTATATCCTGGATATTATGTTCTAAATTTTCTTCTCTTTAAAGTTTGGCTACGAATGTGATGTATCCTGGTAATGTTTAGATTCAAGTTTGTCATCGAGTTCGAATGAAGTTGTCATCTAAGATTTTGTTAAGTTTCTTGGATGAAAAATGGGAATAAAATAAAGTTATCAATTATAAAAGTATCTGACTACATCATCAATAATTAAATAAATTTAAACCACAATTAGGCACAACTCATTTATCAATATGAAGTAAACCAAACTTACCCAAATTTCTGGTCTTCTAATGAGAAGAATTTCTGTTAACCATTACTTCTGTATTTAAATGTTGTAAGTGATAGGTTTAAAATTAATCCTTTCTTCGGATAATATGGCACTCCTCAGACTAAATCCAATACTCACAGTCCATTTTACATTTTATAAGATCATATTTACTCACATATAGTGTACAGGACTTCCAATATTCAATTTATGTGTTAAACGGTTCCCGGTTAAGACTGTGACGTAATGAATATAAAGTAAATCGAAAGTCAGTACAAAATACTTTAAAAGCGTCAACTATATCCTGGATATCATGTTTTAAGCTTTCTTCTCTTTAAAGTTTGGCTACGAATGTGATGTATTCTGGTAATGTTTAGATTCAAGTTTGTCATCGAGTTCGAATGAAGTTGTCATCTAAGTGTTTGTTAAGTTTCTTGGATGAAAAATAGGAATAAAATAAAGTTATCAATTATAAAAGTATCTGACTACATCATCAATAATTAAATAAATTTAAACCACAATTAGGCACAACTCATTTATCAATATGAAGTAAACCAAACTTACCCAAATTTCTGGTCTTCTAATGAGAAGAATTTCTGTTAACCATTACTTCTGTATTTAAATGTTGTAAGTGATAGGTTTAAAATTGATCCTTTCTTCGGATAATATGGCACTCCCAGACTAAATCCACTACTCACAGTCTATTCCACATTTTATAAGATCATATCTACTCACACATAATGTACAGGACTTTCAATATTCAATTTAATTGTTAAACGGTTCCCGGTTAAGACTTTGACGTAATGAATATAAAGTAAATCGGAAGTCAGTACAAAATACTTTAAAAGCGTCAACTAATATCCTGGATATCATGTTCTAAGTTTTCTTCTCTTTAAAGTTTGGCTACGAATGTGATGCATTCTGGTAATATTTAGATTCAAGTTTGTCATCGAGTTCGAATGAAGTTGTCATCTAAGATTTTGTTAAGTTTCTTGGATGAAAAATAGGAATAAAATAAAGTTATCAATTATAAAAGTATCTGACTACATTATCAATAATTAAATAAATTTAAACCACAATTAGGCACAACTCATTTACCAATATGAGGTAAAATAAACTTACCGAAATTTCTGGTCTTCTAATGAGAAGAATTTCTGTTAACCATTACTTCTGTATTTAAATGTTGTAAGTGATAAGTTTAAAATTGATCCTTTCTTCGGATAATATGGCACTCCTCAGACTAAATCCAATACTCACAGTCCATTTTACATTTTATAAGATCATATTTACTCACATATAGTGTACAGGACTTCCAATATTCAATTTATGTGTTAAACGGTTCCCGGTTAAGACTGTGACGTAATGAATATAAAGTAAATCGAAAGTCAGTACAAAATACTTTAAAAGCGTCAACTATATCCTGGATATCATGTTTTAAGCTTTCTTCTCTTTAAAGTTTGGCTACGAATGTGATGTATTCTGGTAATGTTTAGATTCAAGTTTGTCATCGAGTTCGAATGAAGTTGTCATCTAAGTGTTTGTTAAGTTTCTTGGATGAAAAATAGGAATAAAATAAAGTTATCAATTATAAAAGTATCTGACTACATCATCAATAATTAAATAAATTTAAACCACAATTAGGCACACCTAATTTAGCAATATGAAGTAAAATAAACTTACCCAAATTTCTGGTCTTCTAATGAGAAGAATTTCTGTTAACCATTATTTCTGTATTTAAATGTTGTAAGTGATAGGTTTAAAATTGATCCTTTCTTCGGATAATATGGCACTCCTCAGACTAAATCCAATACTCACAGTCCATTTTACATTTTATAAGATCATATTTACTCACACATAGTGTACAGGACTTTCAATATTCAATTTATGTGTTAAACGGTTTCCGGTTAAGACTTTGACGTAATGAATATAAAGTAAATCGGAAGTCAGTACAAAATAATTTAAAAGCGTCAACTAATATCCTGGATATCATGTTCTAAGTTTTCTTTTCTTTAAAGTTTGGCTACGAATGTGATGTATCCTGGTTATGTTTAGATTCAAGTTTGTCATCGAGTTCGAATGAAGGTTTCATCTAAGATTGACCAATTTCATTCTATTCATTTTGCGAAATTCATGACTTCCAGAATGATTCAAACTGATGACCATTGATTTCTTTTACGCGGTAAAGACTTACTTCACTTTCACACCTAGTTTTACATTTTACGAGAACGCATACACACATAATTATAGATTATGTATAAGACCTTCAACACTTAAACGGTTCCTATTGAAGACTGTGACAACAGAAATTCAAAGTCGGTAGCGTAGTTTTGGTACTTTGAAAGCGTCAATTATTAATATTGTTTTTTTCCTTAAGTACTTCTAATTTAGTTACGAATATGAGTTTGAGCCCTAGGTAATATCTTAATTCAAGTTTGCGGCCAAATTTGAAGTAGTATCTTTTAAGTTTTTTTTAAGTTTAAGTTGAGTTTTTAAAATGTAGGTATATGTAAAACTTTATCAGAATTATCAAAAAAAATTCTTTCGCATTTCCTGAACGAAATTGAGGATTCCTGGATTCAATATTTTTAATATTTCTAATGGTACTCATGTTGTTATTATTTAATGTCAATTAAAGTTTTAAAGAGAAATTGCTCCTATCAAGAATTTAAGTGTTTTAGTCCCTTAAAATTTATACCTCTTTATTTCCCTGCATTCCATGAGTTGGTACAGGTTCCATTGGTTTTTTATATTATTTCCTCAATCCAAATAAAGAGAACGATGAGAGTTGATGACGTATCCTATAAATAACGAAACTGAATTTTAATTTAATAAGGATTAGTTTTTGTCTAATTATATGTACATACTTATTTTAGACCCTGTATGCAATATTATATGTCAAAATAGTTAATGTATTGAGCCACTTTTAATTTTTTTTTACATATTAACCTAAAATTTAATTTTGAATAACAACTAAAACAATATATGAATAACAAATAAAATTTATTAGGGGTATCAAATTTTTTTCAATTTCAAAGCCTACTTTTTTAGGTTGTAAAATTTTTGTTTAAAAAAAATAATTTTTTTGACATTTGCATTTCAAATAATATTTTTGTAATTTTTAGGCAATTGATTGATTCTTGATTCTTCTTCTTCTTGAGTTAGCTATTACGCACTTTTACTCTATAATGGCTGGGGGGCTTATCTCTACCTTAAATCAGCATAGAGTCCAGTCTTCCTAAGAGTCCAGAAGAGGACTTGAGGATTGTTAGGGCGGGGTTAATTAGCGTATCAACTTTAGTGAATAATTTTAGAGCTCTGTTTCTGATATATTTTTTCACTGAGTCAATCCTAAGATCTCTATGTATGTCTGTTGATCTAATATACCATGGAATCTTAAACAGTTTTCTTAAAGCCAGGTTTTGAGCTATCTGTAATTGCTTTAAGATTAGTCAATTGAATGAAAATTAAAAATTGTATGAAAGAATGGAGAGCTCGGGAACCATTATTGAACACAGCATTTTATTAAGTACTTAAACTTATACGGCGTTTACATTGGCCGAAAATGGCTCATTTTGGTCAAAAATCGAAAATGAGTATCGAATGGCTCATTCTTGCATATAAAATTTCAAACACAAAAATGAGCAATTTTCTCACATTCTGTATGAATGACGTTCGAATGCATTCCACATACGTTCCAAATGCAAAGGAATCCATTGAACATACCCTAAATGAAAGCTCTTCATGGCATTTTGACAGTTTTAAAAAGCTGTTTTTAACATATTTACAAAAAAAGGTAAACAAATGTTTGGTGGTTGCATTTTCTTGAAAACGATGCACTGCTTTTTAGAACTTTTACTTCCCAAAAAGTAATTAATCGAAGTTAAAAATATGTTTTAAGTTTCTTATGTAAGGTTTGAAGGCATATTTAACCTTCATGCAACATTTTTTTGGCACAGGCCAAAAATCAAATCAACATGCAAGTTGAAAAATCAGCTGTTGAAATGAGAACAAATGAAATAGAACGAATGTAAACACTTTTAAATGGCTCATTCAAAATGAGCCATTTTCGGCCAATGTAAACGCCATATTACTACAAACTTTTCCTTCAGACATTTATATTTCTTACAATTGTTTTCCAGTTAATCCCCGGTTTTTCCGGCAATCTTCCATTTTATTGGATGATATCCAATGCACATTTCTAAACATTCAGCTTCGAATACATTTTACTGTTTTTCTTATGTCTTTTTATCGCGTTTCCCAACCATTGTATTTTTTTATTTTAAATGGACAATAGCACTTTCTGATCCAATTTAAGGGCTTTCTTTTCGAAAATCGTCAGACTGTAAATTTTCCTCTTAACGAAATGTTAAATCTTCATTCTGTATCTAGCCATAGATTGTAGTATTGGTTTGTGTTTTCTTCTACATTTCCCTACTTCCACCAGAATTTGAGAGTATGTCCTTATTTGTAATTCATAGATATTCTCATTGGCTTTTTACTAAATCTTCTATTGTTTTTGTTTTTGTTGCAGCTCATGTAGCGAGTAGCGAGCTACATTTGGCAATAGTAGACTTTTGCTTCCGGGACGAAAAATTGAGAAAATTTATTTTGTTAAATAATATATCAAGAAATCTGTAGGTTTAAATCAAGAAATTGCGTATGATAATATCATATGGACAATTAACAATTGCGCTTATAGTTTGCTAACGTTTAAGGACAATAAATTTTGTTTTTATATTTTCTAAAATAATTATATCAGCAAAAGTTAGCTCTGACTTGGTTATCTATCTGTATTTCTAGTGACTGTGGTCGGTAGTCTGTAGTGACTTATTTATGTTTAATGTTATTGAGATGTGAGACGTAATGACAATTAGATTTACGTAATTTAAGAAGCTTTTAATTTTATGACGTCGTAAACGGTGGTTACTCATAGATGTAGTAACGTACTTCACGCTATTATATAGTGAGGCATTGTATGGGAGTACAGTATGATATTGTATAGTGTGGTGTCGTACGGCCTTGGTCGTACGGTATCGTATGATTAAATGTGGTTCTTTAAATATATATTTTATAATTGTGTTTTTCTTCTGAAATATGTTTATAAATAAAATGTGGAATGGTCTTATTTTTTATTCAATGTTGTTACTATTCATATCAATGTATAATATTTTCATTTATGATACAGTTCTATATATATATATATATATATAGCATTTAAGTATTTTTTATTAAAACATTATTTGAACTATTTAACTATTTTAAATAATTATTACAGAATACATGTATATAAGTTTTTCTTTTATTTAAAAGTTATTTATAATTTTTTATATACTTTAAACAAGATATATAATTCTATATTAAAAAATATGTATTAAAGGAATATGATATACCTTAATTAAATTTAATTTATATTTTTCAGTAATAATAATTAATAATAAATAGTATTATTAATAATATATGTAATGTAAATTATAGAAAATAAATTAAGATTTTGTTAGGAATATAAGCTAAACATTTTTTATATTCGTTTTAGGCACGGCCTTTACTAACTTTAGAATTATCTCATCCTAAAATATCTATGAAAATAGCTGAAAAAATGGGCGAAATTCATAGTTTAGATATACCAATGTCCAAAGAGCCGAATTGGCTATGGAATTGTATGAATCGCTGGTTGAAGAGTGTAGCTATTATATTAAAACAAAATAATTGGTGAGTTAACTTTTTTATTTTGACAAAAAAAAAAATGTATATAAAAAAAACGATTTGAATATATAATGTATGTTTTTATTTTTTAGGAAAAATAATGAAAAACAAGCTCAATGTGTACGAGAATTCGACTTCAATGCAGAGTCACAGTGGCTTAAGTCTATGATTGATAAAGGAAATTATAAAGTATTTTTCTGTCATAACGACTTGCAAGAAGGGAATATACTGTTTCGTGAAACTGATGTAACCTCGAATCCAACACCAAGAAGTTCCCTTAATGAAACGCGGTAAACTTCAATACTTACTATTATATTTTTGGCAACTATAGTTTTTGATTCATTATATACTATTTGCAGACCTGATAGTTCTTCCTTAAATCTAAGTGATACAATCAATGCCAACATTGAAGATAGTGCAAAATTTTTACAGTAAGTGTAATTCTATAACATTTTCTTTAGAGTATATTTATTGAATAATTATGTATATATATTAGTTATTAAATATTTTTTTTATATTCTAAATTTTAATAATTGTAAGTAAGTATAAAAATATATAAATATATATATATACCTAGTTATCGTATTATAGTCCTGTAACAACATAAGGTTCTAGATAAAAATCATTGAGAAATCTTTTACTTTCTAAACATTATAGTTTGTGAAGTTACTAATCGACTCATGACTCATTCTCGTATATCATCCATTTTTACCTCATTTTATATTTCAATACAATACTTCCATCAATTATACTAACAATTTCACAATAATGATCCTAACCACTGTATGTTATTGTTCTAGTAGCCCAAAGTAGAATGCTGGTTTAATAGTTGTTAAGAGAATAGCGTGGGTCTTGCTCGTATGGAAGGACAAATGACAACGAGATGCAGATCCAAGCATTCGTAGAATCACTCTATGGGTTTTCATTGAACTTGTTGTTCTGCGTGATTATGCATAGTTATCCTAACTATTTTATTTATGTAATCTGGGGACTACATATTGCAGAAAACATGAAAGAAACTACGACGTACGCATATATATTATATATATTAGGACATGGATTAGATAGAGAATAAGTGATAAGAAGAGTTATTTAGAATAACGAATAAATGAGAAGTGGGTGGGATTTTATTAAAACTGGATCGAGGTGAAGAAACGTTCTATCAGCTCGAGCCAAAGATCAAAGCTTCATTAAGAAAATTATATGTTTTTTAATCCATAGAAACCGTTGTTCCAATTAGTTTTATATATAAATGTCGATTCTTTTCACATGATTGGGGTTCTCTTTGCCAATTTTCTTCATTTAAACTTTATTTAAGGATGTTTAGCTATATATTGTTATAAGTATAAAACGATTTGTTATTTATTAATCGTTTCAAAATTGAATCAGTTTTATAATTTATAATTAGTTAGTATTAAAGTTATTTATTAGAATTGGAACACATATTTCAAGTTATTTATAAAATTATAAAAATTTTTAGACTAAATTTCGATAAATGTGTTTAGCTTTAAAAATGATTTTCATTTAAGTTTTTGAGTATTTTTTTACTATTTTATAACTATTGTATTTATATGTTAAAGTTCACTTAAATCGTTTTTAAATCAATTAACTATATCAGTTGTAGTAACATAGCTATTACTTTGTGGAACTCAGTATTAATTATAGTGCTTTGATGATTTTTCTTCGTATTTTGTATCTGTTAAGTCAATTACTATTAATCTCTCATAAATAGCAATATATTTTTTCTTTAGATTGTTTATTTGTTGAATATATTTTACATGTCACTTTTATGTCTTTGATTCTTTTAGCAATTCTTCTATATCATCTTCCGATTCTTTGTTAAATTGTACCTCTGAGGATGATTTAGATCTTATAATAATAGATTTTGAATATTGCGCATACAATTATCGTGGATTCGATTTGGCAAATCATTTCCTTGAATGGACATTTGACTATAGTAATCCTGCATTTCCTTTTTACTTTCATCATATACATCAATATCCGAATGAAGAACAGCGAAACAATTTCATCATAACTTACCTTAAAAAACTAAACGAAAGTGACTTAGCCTACATCCCAACAGCTAATGAAGTTAAGGATGTACAGGATGAAGTGCGCCTTTTCACTTTATTTTCACATTTGTTCTGGATTTTATGGTCAGTTGTAAATGTTACTTCAAATATAGAATTTGGTTACTGGGTATGTATAAAATTAACTACAATTATTTTAACACATAAGTGATGGGCTTATTAACTTCATATTACAGGAATATGCTGAGACAAGACTTGGGGAATACAAGAAACTGAAAGAGGAACTAGTACGGTGCTTGAAAAGCGAGTGTCCATGAAACTAGATGTATACTTAAACATTTTTCGATTGGCGGAACAGAAATTATAGCAAATGTACCTCGTTTTATATGTTTAGTGTACATTATTTACAAATTTGAACAACCAAGTGAACTAAGTTAACAATATTATTAACAATTTTTATAGAAAAATTGCTGTGATCGTTTAAGTAAAAAAAAAAACACAAAAAACTAAAATTATTTAACTCACACGGAGCTTCATTCTTCTTTTACACATAAAAAGTATTAAGTAAGCATTTCTTTAAAAGCACATACCTTCGAATTTATTCATACATAAATAAAAACAATTTTATTTCAAAATTAAAATTTATTTATTTAACAATTGCAAATAATGTCAAACTAAGGAATATACAATATCAAAATAATATATATAACAGATGTAGAATCAAGTTAAGATTCTAGCGATTCTAGCATATGATATAATGGATTAGAAAAACAGGAGTCTAATGCTAATAATACTAAACATAAAGTGAGAAAATGGTATTTATTTTTTTGAAATAATAGATATCTTACCAGCGATATATAGAGATATATATACCAGAGGTATTCTCTTTAATTACTATATACGTTTTTGATGAACAAGAAGTCTTATAAAATTGATATCTCTGTAAATTATAAATATATATAGAATTAAGTATTGAAAAACGTTTTATTACTTCTCATAAAGTAAGGATAAGAGATCGGAACAGAATTCATTAGCGGGTGTAATCCTCAGCTGCAAGTTTTTTCAAGTGAAAAAACTTTTCAAGTACGGCTTTGGGTCAGTTGACTAATAAACGCTGACTCTGAATTTCAAATTTGGCAGGGTGCGAGTACAACCTTTGGAATTTGCAGTCTCAAAAACATTATTTACGAATAATTAAATACAAGTAATAAATACAAGTAATAATAATTAAAATAATGTAATAAACACAATTTTTGTTGTTCTAATTAACTACTTTTCGAAACCTAGTTGTTCAAAAAAAAATTGAAGTAGTTACTGCACGCTATGTTCTATATGTTGATCATATATTCTTACTTGTTTAGTTAGCCGTTGCAGACGGGAATCGTCCTTGGTCGTGTCCAGTGAATGATATATATTACACTTTTAACAGAAGATACATATTTACATGGTAGTCATTTGCTTCATATTGGTATTGAGTTACATACCAATACAAGGCTCTCTAAGTTCAGGTTAAACTATTTCCGAAAGGCATTGTCAGCAGAAAAGCACATAAACGTGTGTGAAGGGACTGGGAGAAACGATTTCAGAAACGTTCAGAAACATTCGAAGAGAATGAATAGGATATGAATCTAATTTCTTTTATGAACGTATATAGTTTTGTTATTTCTGAATACAAAAAAAGTTAAAATATTTTGTAAGTAAACCAAGTGTTCCTTTCAATAAGATACAATACTTTATAAGTGTACTGAAGTAATAGTCGATTATAATGACAAAATAGAGAAAGCATACATATGAAACAGTTGAACATATCTTCATATATAATGGATAACGAATTAGCATATATGACTTCGATTGAACCGCAAGTGATAAAATCAAGTGATGACAAAACTAAGTGATAAGTTGTTTAAGATAGATTATATTTAATATATAGATTATATTTATATATCCTTTGTATTACATAACAGCAGTTCTTTAAATAATGCCTGGAATAAAAAATATATCAGTTGAAATAAAAAAAATATTGGTTTAAAAATAAGTAAAAAATAATGAAAAAGTTAGCTTAAAACTTTACCTCCAGACAGTCAAATTATAAATACAAACTATTTACTAATTATATTAGTAATTATATATATATTATTTGTCTCTCCGAAATTGTAGTATTTCACAAATTTAACAGGTGTTATAGGAGAATGTACGATCAAAAATTTAATGGTGCTACGTTAATGGTGATATTATATAAATGTTATAATGTGGATTTTAAAGCAGAAAAGGGTTGAGTTGTGGAAATATGTAACTAGTTCGAATAAAATACAACCACATAAATTAAGTATACAATAACAGACGACCAATGTCTTTTACTGTAGACTTTTCAATAAAATAACCGCTAAATCTAAAACTTGTAAGCTAAGTATATGCAAAAAGTAATGCTACTTATGACTGCACAGGGAAATGAGATATGGCATATGAAAGAAAGGAAGATTGGTAAGCAATACTTGATAGCGAAGTCCTTCGAACAAGGAGATAAAAAAAAAATACTGAAGCCATTACAATGATAAGCTGAACCAACTGATGGAGTTTGACATAATTACTCGATCTACGAAACATTCGAAACGTAGAAGAGGAAACCCAAGAAAAGAGGAATTAATACTGTAAGTTATTATTACATTGACTAGATGAACAGAAATGTTTGAAGGCAGATTGTATAGTACGTCTAACTACTTCATACACTGCCAAATCCTTTATAAAGGTTCTTGACATCATCATCGGGAGAATATTTTGAAAACTTTATTTAAAACACAAATGTCAAAAAACTGGTCTTTTTTAAAACAAAAACTACATCTATAAAAGTAGGCTTTGGAATTGAAAAAAATTTGATACCTCTAATATGTTTTGTTTGTCATTCATATATTTTTTGGCCCATTGTTATTCAAAATTAAATTGTAGGGAAATATAATACACAAAAAAAAATGGCTCTATACAAGAAAAAACCAAACGTACATACAATATTGCATATGACTTCTAAACATATGTATGCACATATAATTAGATTCAAAATAAGGCATATTCAAGTAAAACAAATATAGTAAGTACTAATTTAGAACTTCGGTTTCATTGATTATTGGACACATTATCTCTTTTTTAGAATAACGTTAACATCCATCTATTAAACAAAAAACAAAAATCAATGACAAAGGAATTTAAATAAAACCGGTAAGTTTGTCCCACCTTTTAGAAGTATATAAATATAAAATATATTATATAGTTTTATATATATATATATAACACAAAGGACATCGTTTGGAAACTATACATAATAAAACTATCGGATTGGTATGAAATCTTTTGCCCTCCAATTTTGATATTTACAAGTATTAAGAAGGATTAGCTAAATAGGTAAGATTGGTTCATAATATCCTATTCTTAGTATGTTTACTCTTTTACTAAACAAAATCTATATTTGTAAAAAACTGATCCACACAGAAGACTCCTCTACGTAAATTCAATTATTAAAGAAAGTCCAAAGTACAAATTTAAAAATTAAAAAAAAATTTATCTGTCATTTTCTACTTTCTACTTTTCTACATTCATTTTCTACTACATAACATAATACTATTTTCTACTACTTTCTACTTTAACTTGATCCCTTTTCCATTGTAAAAATCTTTGAATATGAAATATAGTACAGAAATATTTTGCAAAGAAAGCTTAACTCGACTATATGTTTCGAATGAATGTTTTCGAATATATTGCGAAAATAATTACAACTTATGGAACAATTCCTAGATCCAATGGCACTTGTCCAATGGCACTTGTAGTACATAATGGACGGCAGAAGCACAACAAGGTATTAATTATTAAGGACTTAAGCATTTCACGTTCTTGATAGGAGCTGCTTTAACATAGAAGTCAGCTTCATTACAACAAAGCCTATCAAATGCTATAACTTACATTAATTTCTGAAAAAGTGAGTGACATTAGAAAATAAAATCCAGGAGTCCGCAATTCCGGTTCAGGAAAGTTAAAGCTTGTAAGTGTAAAAGCGAAATTATTTTAATCTTTAATTATGGTAACTCTTTTCTAACTTCATTATCCTGAGGGTTTTGAATTTAAATTTCGCGATCGCTGGCTTAAGTGGATATTGAATTAACAACTGAAAATCCTATATGTACACAATCATTGATTAAGTATATTTGTTCCCGTAAAATGTAAAACTGGATTTGAGGAGTGAAGTAAATTATAACCGCATCAGTGAAAGAAATCGATTATCATAAGTTTGAATCACTACCACTAATTTGGAAAATATGAACAGAGTGGAATTAGTTGGTGGGCTGTCTTATTATCCAAATGAAGGACTAAATTGTAACCAATCAGGCACCACACTCAATCGTCCTATTACACAATCAATGATTAAGTATATTTGTTCTCGTCAAATGTAAAACTGGGTGTGAGAAGTGAATAAACCTTTATCGCATCTGTGAAAGAAATCAAGAAATCGATGATCATAAGTTTAAATCACTACCACTAATTTGGAAAATATGAACAGAGTGGAATTAGTTGGTGGGCTGTCATATTCTCCAAATGAAGGACCAAATTGTAACCTATCAGTCACCACACTCAATCGTTCTATTACACAATCAATGATTAAGTATATTTGTTCCCGTAAAATGTAAAACTGGGTGTGGGAAGTGAATAAACCTTTATCGTATCTGTGAAAGAAATCAAGAAATCTATGATCATAAGTTTGAAACACTACCAGTAATTTGGAAAATATGAACAGAGTGGAATTAGTTGGTGGGCTATCATATTATCCAAATGAAGGACCAATTTGTAAATGATCTTATAAAATGTAAAAGGGACTGTGAGGCGTGGAATTCGTCTGGGTAGTGCCATATTATCCGAAGGAAGGATATCAGTTTTAAACCTATCAATGGTTAATAAACAAAGGTTAACAATGAGAAGACTAGAGATTTGGGTAAGTTTGATTTATTTCATACTGATAAATAAGTGGTGCTTAGTCGTAGTTCAAAAATATTTAGTCAGTGAAGTAGTTATATACTGATATATTTAGGATTAAAGGATCTTATTTCAGTAGTAATTGCGTGAAATATTTTTTAATTTGTTAATGAAAGGTTACGTTGGTGCAGTTTCTATATATGAATGTCCATGTATTAAATTATATGTGATGGCTCTTTATTTTGAATCTTATTAAATTATTATTATTTTTATTTAATATCTTTTTGTTTAGTTATTATTTTATTTTTATACTTATTATTTCAGTTTTCCTAAAATGTATGTGGAATTGAAAAAATCTCTTTTTGGGTTGAACTATCAATGGAATCATATGGATGGCGTCTCTAGATTAAAACCTAATAATTTTGTTATTAGAAAAATATAAGTAATATTAAAAGTGCTTCCTTTTGTTTGACGATTAATGGTGTCACAGGAATGATGTCACTAGGATGATTGTAAAGGATAGGATAGTGACATAAGAATGTTTCCTGTGTGTTTTCTAATTGTTGCTCATAAGAACTATTTGAAACTATTTAAGTTGAATATTATAAAATTGAAATAAGTGTCCATTTTATGTATATAAATTTTATTGTAGTATAAAAATATTTTATTTTTAAGAAACAATTTTTAATATTTCTTCTTAATAAAAAAATTAAAAAAAAAGAAATCTTAAAATTAAAATCAATGCATTTCCGTATAAACGGTAAGTTATGAAAAAGTTAACTTTGGTTTTGTGAATACTTGAATACCCTATACATAGAGTTATTGAGAAGTCAGTAGTGATGATTGAGACCATGAGTACATAGGGCTCTCATATTAAAATCGAATATGACTGGAATAATTTTTGACGAATACAGTTGATTTAATTTAATTTACTTAACGGACTTTGGCACAAATTTAACGACATGTGAAAATGATTTTCTATAAACACCTATATCTGAACCATACCGAAAGCAAAATATTAAGTGGTAGTGTGAAGTACAATAATAAATAAAATGTATATTTCGTTAAAATATATGGACAGATAAATGTGTTTTCCAATAAGTACTTCTGTCTGAATCATTATCATGCTTTTAAAGGTTTAAAAAAATTAATGATTAAAAATTTCTTTTGGATTTGAATCGGTACAACTACCACCCACATCTATTCGAAATAAATTTTGTGTCAGAAAAATTACAATTAAAAATTAAGTAATTAATGTTATATGTTTTTTTAATGTTGTTCTTGATCTTAGTTGTTTATATGTATTTGCTTTTTTACCGGGCTTTAAATCTATCAAAAAAATATTTTTTATTACCATCGAGCCCCTTGTAGCCAAAATACCTAGGCTAGTGTTACCTTATGCATAGTAGCCACCCTAAATATCGCAGCGAAACAATATTTTATCTAAACAATACTTGAGATAGACAATGTTTTATTGAAAAAATAATAAGATAGATATAAGGCGTTTCTTCTTGATATTTGAGTTTCACACTACATCGCATTTAAATAATATATATGTATGTCAAATTGCTGAGTATCTTTGAGAGATTTACATCAATCAACAACTAACTTCGAATTTGAAGTTGCGGGTTTAAGGAATTGATAGCGAAATAGTTGGCATAATAAAAATGTACAGTTGTGTTCGTGGCACCAATATTTTAAAGTAGTTCAATGTATCCTTAGTAGTAAGAACTTTCTAAAATAGCATAACTTAGAAGGTCGAAAAACCGAGTAGTTTCGTAATTCTGATCTCTCGAGCTCTGATGATCAGCTTTAGAAAAACCGATCCCTATATTTCAAAGTCTAGAAAAACGTAAGAAGACCCTTTAAAGCTGTTGGTTTGGCTGCTTCTTTTAAAAAGAAAATAAACTTTAAAATAAACAGGAATACCGTCAGACATGTGCAGGCATGTGTTCCCTAGAAAAATCTATTATCTCATTAAATTAGTATCTTTTAATTTATCTGTAAGATTGTTAACATGAAACACAGATGAACTTAACTTAACTGACTTTGTGTATTTGATCATATGACCTTTTTCGTTATCATTTTAATAAGTGGTTAAATACATTACAAAGGATCTTTTACGGTTTTAGTGTTCTGCCGCAGTGAGAAATAATTCTCAAATCGTCGCAACTCCTTAAATTTTTGTATTTGACTAATAATAGTTTGATTAGCAGATTCATCTGACAAACTACAGAGCTTTTTTCAAATACATACGAGCAATATTTATTACAAAACCAACGGTATAGCAAAACGCAACTGTGGTTCGGGTGGGTAGGAACAACGAGACAAAACTATATAAGTCACCTATCAAAAAATGTTGATATAAGGCAATATTTCATAAATCATTTCGACCACATACTGCTCTCTACATTCACCAGCTCTAGGTTACTTGACTTCTTGGTATAGGAAGTCATGCGCATTTTCATGCCAGGATCAGCACTAACAATTTCCAGTATATTGATGTGCTTAAAGAAACTCTTTTTTGTGAATGAATGAAGATTCTAATGGTTCGCATTCAATAAGCTACACTATATTAAAAAATCAATTAAAAATGCATCTTTAAATCAGAGTTGAATAACAAAACGTTGTGTTCTGATTATGTATGGTTCAATTTTGTCATTTCGTTCCTTTATAATCACAAAAAAAATTTTTCCATAATATGGAACACAATTATTCAACTATACTAAAAATATTAAAATTCTTTATAATATAAAAAACATGCTTTAAACTATAATTCTTCTAATGTAACAACTTCTGATCACAGTAATATCCACTTCATCTATATTAAAGAAAAATCAATAACATGTACCATATATTGCTGCTCTTATAGTTCAAAAATTTGCTAAATTCTAAAATACTACAGAAAAGCATTTTAGTGCTTCTTAATGTCACTATTTAAGGCACTTTTGAGATGAACGTATCTTGACTCTTTAACGGTTAAATAATGCAACAAATGTTTTCTTAAATAATTATATAGACTGACTTATGCATATAATGAAAATTGCCATGGAATGTGCAGAATACAAAATATTTACAAATATTTGCCGAGAGTTTTCCTATGAATTCAATTCAAACTTTGTAAAAACTGTTTCTCTAATCATTTACGTAGTTAGTACCAAATTTTTGAAAAATGACTAATACATCAATGTACACTTCTTATGTATAGGCTATTGACAATTATGTGGCAGTACTAACCGCTTTTGACTTAAGTTTAATCTGTTAAAATATGGACCTCAAACTTGATCCAAACAGAAAATACATAAAGGATAGAGTCCTGAAAATATTTACGAAATCTGATACGCTTACCAACACCGCGTTATCGAATCTTAGAATAATAACAGGCTCTTCGGGGAGGTATGCAGATCTGGGATTAAATATTGCTTAGTCTAATGAATAGATAAACAATAATCCAGTCAAGGCGTAGAGAGGGGTTATGAAGAAACCTCGCAGTTAATAGAGAGCAGAACAGTGCTAAAGTGCACTGACTCAACTAGCTGCAACATAATAATAAAAAAGCTAATTATTGTAGTTAAAATAGCCTAACGAATAAATTGAGCAATGTACGCACTTACTAATGTATTTAATGTGTATATGTGTATATACTATAAGAGAACAATATACACGGCCTTGACTTAATCAAAAGAGATTAATTAAGAACGTTACAACTTAAATTGATCTACCCAGGTCTTGTAGATATGAAAAAATCTTATAAGAAGAAACAGAAACATGTGAAACCAACAGTCGAAATAAAGAGACGTTAGTCTATGGACTTACAAAAACACTATAGGCCATTTAAAACCATTGATATTAAATAAAAATTTAATAATAGCTTTAATTATTTTATTATAAGAAAAAAAAATTACAAAATCAGTTATATTAGATACTTCTCATATTGTTCTGAAGGTAATGAGTATTATTTAGAATTATATATATGTTAATATGTTATGTTATATACTTTGTTATAGGCTAACGATTCCAATAAATATTAAATTTAAAAAATTATATGTGCAATTAATTTTTAATTATTCGATATGGTATTTATTATTTTTGGGTATATAAGCTTTAGAATAATCTTAGCAAATTACAGATTAGAAGTGACAGCAGAATCTGCGGAAGCCATCTATTTGATTTATTACTTTCCAAATCAACAACAACAATATACTCCCTGTTGAAATAAGAGATAATATAAAAGAAGAAGTAAGATTTTTTTTAATAGAAATTTTTGATAGTCGGGATGTAGATAGTCAACTAACGCAAATAAATGAAGGTGTCTCTATATCTATGATGAAAATATGAAAATTTAATGGCAATACATTAGAAACATATTTTTCAGATATATAGCAGTTTGAGAGATAAGACCCGCTTAAAAGTCCTATTATTCTTAGATTAAAACCATATATAGGTGCATCGAGTTTGATAAAGACAATCAACTAAAGTATTTTATTTGAAATGGGAAAAACTATTGAACACTATAGAGCAGTTTCACACACTTATCTATTAGGCAGTTGAAATTGTTATAAGGACTTAATGTATTAAACCGATTTCATCAATCTTTGAGAATAACAAGAAAACAAAAAAACTTTTATTTGACTTAAGAGATTGAAAAATAAAATGTTCTGTTACGACAAGATTGCAAGAAATTACCTGCGCTTCTAAGTTCTAAAGGAAAAAGTTGTTGAATCAAAATCAACATTAACATAATAGTGAGATAGGTTCTTTCTATTAAGTTATTCATAACAAAATTACAATAATTTACCCGAGTTTACTACCCGAAAAACTACCCGAGTGCAGATTCCACATGAAGATACAAGATAATACAAACCATCAAGTTGTCTTAGATTCAATTAAGCGGAAAATAAAAAAAAAAATATTAACAACCAGAAAAAATCAGAAAAAGAAATATATAATAAATTTTTCGGCAAAACCATGAATGGTTTGTATAAAAATTTATAAACTGATAAATGAATGGTAAACAAGTTTCCAACTAAAGTTATATATAGATACTGGTCAAAATCTTGATGTGAGCCTGTGACTCTTGAAAATAATACAATTTGGTTTGTTCAAATAAAAACTAAGGCATGAAGTATCCTTCACCGGAATAAGAAAGTAAGAACAGTGACATTTTCGAGATCCATGTTATTGAGAGTGGGGTTGTTATGTGACGACATTTGTTTCAGGACTAAGGACTCCAGAACTTTAGGTACTGGAAACGGCAGAAATATGAGTATGTACGGTTCACTTTTGCAAGCCGATTTGTCCAACTTCACAGGACACATTATCCTATCACTCTTTAATGTATTAGATAT